TATTGTAGAGATGAGGTCTCACCAAGTTGCCCAGGCTAGTCTTGAACCCCTGAGCTCAGGTAATCTTCTCGCGTCTGCCTCCCAAAGTGCTGGGATTATAGGCACGAGCCACCGCACCCAGACACGAGTGAACTTTTATCCATACAGCATTTATAAAATTCTGTTTAAGTCAGGCTCGGTGGCTCAGCCTGTAATCCCAGTGTTTGGGAGGCTGAGGTGAGTGGATTGCCTGAGCCGGCGGATTCGAGACCCGCCTGGGCAACTTGGCGACACATCTCTACAATAAATCAAAAAATCAGCCGGGCTTGGTAGTGTGTGCCTGTAATTCTGGCTACTCGAAAGGCTGAGGCGGCAGGATTGCCGAAGCCCTGCAGGTCGAGGCTGCAGTGACCGGGAGTGGCCACTGCACTCCAGTCTGGGTGACGGAGTGAGACTCCAATTCAAAACAAAAAAAAAAAATTCTGTTTAATGGTCATGAGGGTGAAGTCTGATAGACCTGTTTCAATACTGGTTCATTCACCTCACCTTTTTTTTTTTTTTGAATTGGAGTCTCACTCTTTGTCACCCAGGCTGGAGGGCAGGGGCATGCTCATGGCCACCGCATCCTCGACCTGAGCTCAGGTGATCCTTCCGCCTCAGTCTTCCAAGTAGCTGAAAATACAGACATGCACCACCACGCCCAGCTAATTGTTTGATGTATTGTAGAGATGCGGTCTTGCCAAGTTGCCCAGGTTGGTCTCAAACCCCTGGGCTCAGGTAATCCTCACGCCTTGGCCTCCCGAAGTGCTAGGATGACAGGTTGAGCCACCGTGTCCAGCCCATCCACCTAACCTTAACCCTTGGTTTCTTCATCTGTTAAATGTGAAACCTACAGATTGTTTAGGGACTCCTGCTGCATGGACATATGCGTGTAAATGTGGAGATGCATTCCTTTAATAGCAGTCATTGTGATGGGATTTGCTGTAATCCTCATGGCACTCTTCATATCCTAGCTGCTTTTATGCGTCGGGAGAGAAGGGCCCCATCTCATTGACCTTTTGGAATATGAAGTGGTAGATTGCCTGGCTAGCAAGTGCTCAAGGTGGAGCTGAGTGCTGGTCTGTGACTCCCTGTAGCCCCCAAGTCATAGCGCTGTTGCCGTGAAAACAATGTCCTAGCCGGGCTCGGTGGCTCAGCCTGTAATCCCACACCTTTGGAAGGCTGAGGTGAGTGGATTGCCTGAACCCGCGGGTTCGAGACCCACCTGGGCAACGAGACCTCATCTCTACAATAAATCAAAAAATTAGCTGGGTGTGGTAGCACGCGCCTGTAGTTCCAGCTACTTGGAAA